CTTCCTTCCTTCCTTCCTTCCTTCCTTCCTTCCTTCCTTCCTTCCTTCCTTTCTTTCAAGATATATGTCATCCATTGCAACTGGTTTCTCTAACCTTCCTGATTTGGGGTATCTGGCAGGCTTCCACGTGCTGTCAGAGATTTCAGAGGCCGACAATCCAGGCTGCCCAGCCGAATTCCTCAACTTGCTGATCCCTCTTGGAGATCCTGTCTTTGACCCCAGCAGATCTCAACAGGTCGTCCTGCCCTTCCAGAGGATGCGTTGGGCTGCAGGAACAGGACGAAGCCCCAACAATCCCCGAGAGATGGTAACAATGTCCTTTGGTGCAGGATGGGTCTGAAGATTCCTGTGATGGCACAAGCCAAATTCTGTCACAAGGGGTGGAATGCTTAGGATTAATTTGGTTGTTTGCTTTGGAATATATTTTTTAAAAAATGACTCAAAGACTACACCTACACCTTAAGGTAACAGAAAAGCCAGATGAAAGTAGGGCCCAGAAATGAGTAGAATAGTCACTATAGCAAATTGGCAATCTGGTGTCTTCCGGATGTATGAGACTACAGTTCCCATCATACCTACACAAAATAGATAGGATCCCCTTTTTCTCCAATGACCCTTGTAAAGCAGAGGCTGGCATGTTTGAAGAACCTGAGTTGGAACTGCTTCTGAAATCTAGGTGTGGCTTGTTAAAGCAAGTCAGCTTCATAAAGCATGGTTTGAAGCTGGTTTAAAATTAATCCCTGGCTAAGCGGCAAAACAAATGCAGTTTACTGAAAAGGGGAAGGAAAGATCTGATCTTCCTTCCTGAGCTAGCTGGGCTTTGGATTCCAGTAAATGTGGAGGTCAAGGAGAAGACCTCCTTCTAGTTTCCAAGCATGAGTAAGGAATATTCAGAAAGCCTGGCATATTTTGGAAAGATCTTCAGCCTTTTTCTACGAGATGAATATGGACATTGTCATATTCACACTCTCCCAATGTGCTTTTGTGGGTTGTGTGTGTGTGTGTTTTTTCTTTTGCTGCTCCTAGAGTCCTCCCAAATCACACTACCAAAATTCACAGGCAAATCCCTGAAAACTGAAGGAGGAGCAATGTCTCATTGTTCCCTGGGAGACAATTAAGGAATATCTTGTGCTGAGTGGTTAGATAAAATATCAGAAATGAAAACAAAACCATAAAAAATAATCCTTAAAAAAAAAGCTCTATCTTACATTTACATGACCTAGCAGATGCATTCACACCACATGCTACACTTGGTTAGTATTAACCTTGGTTAGTTGGGGGGGATAAGAAGTGGTGGGAACCCAGTTCAGTACAGAGCCCATGCTGAGAAAATGAGATAATTTAAAAACAGATTAAGCTGCAGTCTAACAGGAGCAGTTGGTAAGAACACATAATTGAAAGAAATGGAGTATATTCATAAGCACAGAAGTAATGGTTTCAGTATCACCATTAGGTCCAAATTTGCTGGGCTTTGACTACTTTGTGTGAAGGTGCTGTGTTAAGACACCTTATCAAAAGAGTCAGTTCACCCAATCCAAGCAACTGAGAGACTGAATTGGAGTTAACTGATTTCCTTACTCTCTCCTTCCCATCTTCCTTTTTGTTCTCCACAGGTAAATGGGGTGACTGGCTGGTTAGATGGCAGTGCCATCTATGGCTCATCACATTCCTGGAGCGATTCTCTAAGGAGTTTCTCCCGAGGGAAGCTACTTTCTGGAACAAAAGATGGTTTCCCAAAGCAGACAGAAGTGAACAGCTTAATGTGGAAGGCTTTGGATCCATCTACAGGGAGGGGTGGATCACAAGGCATCTTTGGTAAGGAAGTTTGGGATCATCAGCTGCTCCTCAGAGAGGGAGGGAGATAGGGATGGAATCCCAGAGCATTTCTTTTCAGGCCCTCATTCAGTTTTCTGTAATAAATGATAATAGAAAGTTGGGTGTGTATTTGAGAATTCTAGAATGCATGGAGGTCAATAACAACTCAACTGTTTTGTGCTAGAGCTTCCAGAATAGGGGGTGACTTCTGAGCATATTCTTCCTTCAACATCTAACTTTACTACCTTATCCTTTTATGGAGGGAAGAAATCTAGAGGTCAACACCAAACACAGTGGCCTTTTCCCACCTGCATCTTTGCAGAGTGTCCTAAAAATTATATCCTCCTCCTCCTCTTCCTCATCATCATCATGTCTTCTCTGATATCTGGCCATTAGGATTCACCTTGCTTTCACAAGTCTCTTGGGTTCTTTTTAATAATGATTCCTTCTCCTTCTCCTTCTCCTTCTCCTTCTCCTTCTCCTTCTCCTTCTCCTTCTCCTTCTCCTTCTCCTCTTCTTCCTTTTCCCCCCCCAGAATTTGGAAATGCCAAAGGAAATGAAAACGTCTTCCTGCAAGCCATGAGTATTGTCTGGTTCCGCTATCACAACTATTGGGCAGAAAAACTGGCCAAGCAGAACCCAGGCTGGTCAGACGAGGATGTATTCCAACATGCACGCAAGAGAGTCATTGCCACTTACCAGGTAAGTAGAGTTTGGAAGAGACAGAAAAGACAGGAAAGCATATGTAGCTTCTTGAATAATCAGCTCCTCTTGGCCCATATCTATGCTCTCCATCCTGCCTTTAAGGAAGAGGCATTAGTGCAGAAGCGGAATACACATTTTATGTATAGAAGATCCTGAATTCAATTCCAACCAATCATTGTTTGAAGTTTCACATACAGAGTGATGGGGAAAACTTTCTTTTCTGACAAATGGCTGTTGTTTTATTACTGGCCTGTTGTTTTTGTTATGATCCTTCAAGTCAATCTTGATTCTTGGTGACTACGTGGACAGAGTGATTGGCCAAAGTCACCCAGCTGCCTTTTGTTCTTTAGGAAGGACTAGAACTCAGCTCTTTCTGTTCCTAGTCCAGTGCCTGCAACCACTACATCAGACTGGCTCCTTTCTTGGCAATTCAACATTGGCCTAATACGGCATTTAGTTCAAAACAGCATGCATTGGCTTATCTTATAATGTTTCATGATCTTCTCATTGTTCTCCTAGAATATTGTGCTGTATGAGTGGCTTCCAATCTTTCTGGAGAAGACAACCATCACAGATTATGAAGGTGAGGAACGGCAACAGAACAGAATAGATGCCAAATGGAAAAAGACATTATGCAGCCAGTGCCTGCATTATGTAGACACTCCCTGCATAATGGAGAAGGGAGATAAGGATATTCTTGTGGATATGAAGAACTGCCTTAGCCACCTCTCCTTTGATTTTATACTTGTGTGTAGAAAAGGATATGAAGAACTGCCTTAGCCACCTCTCCTTTGATTTTATACTTGTGTGTAGAAAAGGATATGAAGAACTGCCTTAGCCACCTCTCCTTTGATTTTATACTTGTGTGTAGAAAAGGCTGGAATCTGTGTCATTTCCCAGCCTATACATCATCTAGGTTTTCATCTAGGTTCCTTATATAGGAATGCTAAATTGCATTTACATCCCAAGTTCTTCCATTTAAAACTCAAAACATCACAAGGGTTTCAAGGAATTCCCTTCTCTACATCTTCTTTGCTTTAGTAAAATGCTTCTACTAAGTACTTCTGCACCAGGCTGAAGGATAGAATAGGAAACCAGGTGCCCTCCTGCTTTCAGGGTATAATCCCACCCCATTGGCTGTGGAAGTTGGAGTTCAACACACTTAGAAAGTACAAGATAGAGAAGACTATATCATCGTTATTGTCCTTTTGTAGTTATGTGTCTTAGTTACATTTAGCATTTAGATTATTCATTGTACAATTAATTGTAATTTTGTAGGTTTCTTTTGCATTTTAATACCTGTACTCTGCCATTTTACCTTCATAATTTTATCTTCACCTTATTTTATTCTATCAATATGACTTTTTATTTTTATTTCTATTTTAGCATAATTGTTATGTTATTAGTTCTATGCTGGTCTATAAAAATTGATTGATTGATTGATGTATATTAGGGTTTTATATATCCTTCCTCTATCAATACCAGTTTCTGTTTGGCCAAGCACACAAATCTTGCTAAGGCAATCTAGATGTACTGGTTGAATATCTACAATATAGTGGGAGGTATAATTCTTCTGTATTTAATATACCTCTTGCTATCCCTTGCACCTCTCTCTGGATTGTAGGTTACAAGCAGCATGTGGATTCCAGGATCTCTCCTGAATTCCTCGTGGCTTCTGCACTCTTTCTTGGCACTAGAGTCCCATCTGGAGTCTATATGAGGTAAGAAAAGCAGGTTTTTTTAAAAAAATAATATTGAAGTCAGAAGCAGAGAGATGCCTAGAACTGCAGTTTTTAAGATTTACAGAAGTAGTCAGTCACACCTGACATTACAAAATCTAAGCAGGAAAATTCAGTCCCAGTAGGATAGTGATGGAAGGAAGGAAGGAAGGAAGGAAGGAAGGAAGGAAGGAAGGAAGGAAGGAAAGCTCCAAGAGAGTTACTAGCTAATGTTTTTCTCTTGTAGATAATACAGCTGGATTCGCACAATATTCAAGGAAGGAAGGAAGGAAGGAAGGAAGGAAGGAAGGAAGGAAGGAAGGAAGGAAAGCTCCAAGAGAGTTACTAGCTAATGTTTTTCTCTTGTAGATAATACAGCTGGATTCGCACAATATTCAATATGGTTTCTCTAGTTCTGGCTTAAGATTTTGTGTGAATCCAGCCATTTTAGTTTGTAATGTGTCAACCCAGCCAGCTGTGGCTTATTCAACCAACCTTGGTGAACCAGTGTAAGCTAAGACCTCAACCATGGTCAACAGAGTCTCCTGCTGCACCTTGAAAATCCAAGACTTGGATGGTACATCAATAGGTTGCCTTTGCAGATGGAGCATTACCAGAATTATACATCTCATACAGCGTCTATCCAATAGCCATCTGGCTGGCTTCCTCTTTGACTCTTTCCCTCTTGCTGTTTTTTGCCAATGGGGTTAGGCATTATACTGATCTCCCACAGAGAGCCCTACTCATCTCATTTCTTTTAATTCTTTTTAGGAATTCAACATGTATTTTCCGAAATGTGTCTGACATAAATGGACAACTTTCTCCAGCCCTCCGCCTATGCAACAACTACTGGAGCCGGGAGGTAAGGAACTTTAGAGCTATACAAGAGTAACTAAATATACATTTCTAGTTGAAGGTGCTCAAGAGATGGAGATTGCAATAAAATGTATTGAGTAAGTGGATTCATGGTGAAATATTCATGTCATATGAAAAATTATAACTCAGAGGTAGGACACTTGGTTGCATGCAACAGACCTAACTTTCAGTCTTCAACATCTCCAGGTGGGGCTGAGGAGGTCACCTGCCTAAAATTTTGGACAGCTTTCATCAGTATAGAAAGTACTAGAATAGGCTATCAAATGTCCTGCTTCATTATAAGACAGCTTCTTATACCTCTAGTTCAGCTGGTGATTTCACAAAGATAGGTGCCATTCCCAGGAACCCAGGACACATACAGTTGAGCCCCAATAGTTCCTATCAGCGTGAGCATTGCTCCAAAGTTCTGACTTACTGCTGACATGCCATCTTGGAGCTGACCAAGTATACCTTTGCAATAGATAGTACTTCATGCTAAGTGTTTTCTGCCTTGGCCAGAATCCTAACCTCCAGACAGCTAAGGATGTAGATGATCTGCTCCTGGGAATGAGTTCTCAAATTACCAAGCTGGAAGACAACATTGTGGTTGAAGATCTCCGAGGT